CGTTCGCGTGAACAAATAGCCCGTTTGTTTGAAAAAGTAAGTTAGTTTGGTCTATTTTTTCGGGGAACGGGCAACTTTACTCAACGAACGCAACCCTTGCGTTTGCGCGAACAAATAGCCCATTTGTTTGAAAAAGTAAGTTAGCTGGGCCCATTTTTCCAGGGAACGGGTAACTTTACTCAACGAACGCAACCCTTACGTTTGCGTGAACAAATATCCCGTTTGTTTGAAAAAGTAAGTTAGCTGGGCTCATTTTTCTTGGAAATGGGTAACTTTACTCAACGAACGCAATCCCTGCGTTCGCCTGAACAAATAGCCCGTTTGTTTGAAAAAGAAAATTAGTTGGGCTCATTTTTCTGGAGAACGGGCAACTTTACTCAACAAACGCAACCAATTGCGTTCGCGTGAACAAATAGCCCGTTTGTTTGAAAAAGTAAGTTAGTTGGGTCTATTTTTCCGGGGAACGGGCAACTTTACTCAACGAACTCAACCCTTGCGTTTGCGCGAACAAATAGCCCATTTGTTTGAAAAAGTAAGTTAGCTGGGCTCATTTTTCCAGGGAATGGGTAACTTTACTCAACGAACGCAACCCTTGCATTTGCGTGAACAAATATCTCGTTTGTTTGAAAAAGTAAGTTAGCTGGGCCCATTTTTCCGAGGAACGAGCAACTTTACTTAACGAATGCAACCCATTGCGTTAGCATGAACAAATAGCCCGTTTGTTTGAAAAAGTAAGTTAGTTGGACCCATTTTTTGACAAAAGAGCAATTTTACTCAACGAACGCAACTCCTGCGTTAGTGTGAAAAAACAGCCTGTTTGTTTGAAAAAGTTAGTTAGTTTGGTCCATTTTTCGAGTAAACAGGCAACGTTACTGAACGAACGTACCCCTTACGTTTGCTTGAACAAATAGCCCATTTATTTGAAAAAGTAAGTTGGTTGGGTCTATTTTTCCAGGAACGAGCAATTTTACTCAATAAACGCACCTCTTGTGTTCGCTTGAACAAATAGCCCGTTTGTTTGAAAAAGGAAGTTAATTAAGAATATTTTTTCGGGGAACGGCTGACAGGACCCGCCCCGAATTCCTCAGAACCCAGGACGAATCCGGTGAAAATTTTCGACATCTTACCGATGTCGGGCCCACTTACTAAGAACCGAGACTTTCTATCGAAATTTTAGCATAGTCTCTCCTGAAAATTGGACTTTTCCCCAAATTCTTTCCCAAACTTAAAATGACATTTTTGCCCTTTAGTATTAATTAATATTTTAATTTTTTTTTAAAAACCTTAATTAATTCAAATCATTTTATGTTATTGTTTATTTCAATTTATTTCCTCATTTAACTTTATACTCTCTTACTTTAATTATTTTATTACTTTTTCGGACCGGGATGTTACAATCTATCCCCCTTATAAAATTTCGTCATTGAAATTTCATACATGTCACTTGAAGGGGGATGGATACTGGGCCCACATCTACTACTCAGGTTCCCAAATAACCTTGTTCACACTTGATAAGACGGAAACTTAACTTCCCATGTTTCCCGAACTTCCACAAACTGTGGCTTCGATCCGAGGGTCACCCCACTTCAAAACATTCCAAAAGCTAGCCTTTAAAACATTAATATCAACAAAATGCAACCCTGGGTTACGATACATTGGTATCTCTCTCAACATTTGTCTGCTGTCAAGGATAACGCAACTTCATCTCTTTCTAGAATCCATGCTGGATAAGTTGTTCCCATTAACAAGTAGCTCTAAGGACGACAAATTTTCTCTTTTCTAAGACTATTAATTTCCGTTTCTTTAGAATTAACAACTGATATTGTAAATATGATTCTTCGAGAGGAATACCAGAAAGGATCATTTTTACCAAATTGTAATCATCATCCACCTCAACTTGATTACTTTTCAGATCTTTCATAAGTAATTCCATGAAGTACTCTTTTGGTGCCCCTCCATGACATAGGGGTGAAATTAAAGGCCTCGTGCTAGATGGAGGTGGGCATGTGCATATAAGGCAAATCACCCCCTCTCCGTTGGTCAATGTGAGATATTACAATTCACCCCTCTTAGGAACCTAACATCCTCGTCGGCACACTCACACCATACGGCAAAGTGGCTCTGATACTAAATTGATAGGACTCGCCCCGAATTCCTCGGAACCCTGGACGAATCCTGTGAAAATTTCTGATATCTTACCAATGTCGGGCCCACTTACTAGGAACCAAGACTTTCTGCCGAAATTTCGACAGAGTCTCCCCTAAAAATTGGACTTTTCCCTAAATTCTTTCAGGAACGAGCAACTTTACTCAAGGAATGCCCCCTTTACGTTCGCTTAAACAAATAGCCCGTTTGTTTGAAAAAGTGAGTTGATTGGAAAGCTTTCTTTTTATTGCCCGTTGACGGGCCCTTCGGCCTCCCCTTCTTTTCTTTATGTTATGACAAAATCCTTTTATTGCCGGCCTTTTATTTTTCCGGGAATGAGAAACTTTACACAACGAACGCAACCCATGTGTTAGCGTGAAAAAATAGCTCGTTGGTTGGAAAAAGTAAAATTATTGGGAATATTTTTCCGGGAACGGCAACTTTACTAAACGAACGCACCTCTTGCGTTCGCTTGAACAACCACCCCGTTTGTTTGAAAAAGTAAATTGGTTGGGTTGATTTTGCTGGGGAACATATAACTTTACTAAACGAACGCACCTCTTGCGTTCGCTTGAACAACCACCCCGTTTGTTTGAAAAAGTAAATTGGTTGGGTTGATTTTGCTGGGGAACATATAACTTTACTAAACGAACGCAACCCCTGCTGGGGCCATTTTCGGTTTGCGCACAGTCACTCTTGCATTGCATCATTGTAGTGCAATTTCATGTGTGTTATGCAAACTCTACCCGCCTGTGAGCAAACTCCACATAGCTTAAAAATGCAAAACTCCATTTTTCTTATTTTCGTTTGCGCACAGTCACTCTTCCATTGCATCACCATCATGCAATTGCATGTCTGCAATGCAAATGCTGCCCGACTGTTGGCAAACTCTTCGGAGCGTACACACGAAGCCCGTTTGTTTTAACGGGCAACTTTACTCAACAAATGCAACCGCTGCATTCGCGTGAACAAATAACCTGTTTATTTGAAAAAGTAAGTTAGTTGCGTTCTTTTCTTTCTGTTATGACAAAAGCCTTTTATTGCCGGCCTTATATTTTTCCGGGAATGAGCAACTTTACACAACGAACGCAACTCATGTGTTAGCGTGAAAAAATAGCTCGTTGGTTGGAAAAAGTAAAATTATTGGGAATATTTTTCCAGGAACGGCAATTTTATTAAACGAACACACCGTTTGCGTTCGCTTGAACAACCAACCCGTTTGTTTGAAAAAGTAAATTGGTTGGGTTGATTTTTCCGGGGAACATATAACTTTACTGAACGAACGCAACCCCTGCTGGGCCTATTTTTCGGTTTGCGCACAGTCACTCTTGCATTACATCATTGTAGTGCAATTTCATGTGTGTTATGCAAATGCTACCCGCCTGTGAGCAAACTCCACATAGCTTAAAAACGCAAAACTCCATTTTTCTTATTTTCGTTTGCGCACAGTCACTCTTGCATTGCATCACCATCATGCAATTGCATGTCTGCAATGCAAACGCTGCCCGATTGTTGGCAAACTCTTCGGAGCGTACACACGAAGCCCGTTTGTTTGAACGGGCAACTTTACTCAACAAATGCAACCGCTGCATTCGCGTGAACAAATAGCCTGTTTGTTTGAAAAAGTAAGTTATTTGGGTCTATTTTTTCAGAGAACGGGCAACTTTACTCAATGAACGCAATCTTTGCGTTTGCGCGAACATATAGCCCTTTTGTATTCCTTTCATATTATTTTATTTTACATAATTCAATTATGTTTAACGTATGAAATGATCAATTTGCCCTCATATTTAATGACAGATTGGATGAAATGTTAGGTAATTAAATGGCATGGGAGATATTGGCGATAAAGAGCACATGTGTGCAATTCTCAGTTTATAATATGCATATGCATATACTTGTACGCAATTTTGTAGCATCTATGTGCAATTCTCATTTTACAATATGTAATTGCATATGTATGCAATTTCGTAACATTTGTTTGCAATTCTTAGTTTACAATATGCAATTGCATTCTGCACTTTTCCTGAATCCTTAGCCAGAGCAACCAATATATAGTAGTTATGGCAATCATAGCAACCAATACCAATCATGAACATGACATTTGAACCATACACTTACAGATTTAGCAATACAATCTTTGAAATGGTAATGACAACCCAAGCATATTAAGCTTCAATTAGAAACAATACTGTGCATCCAAAAGCTGGGTTTAGGGAGAGAGAGAGAGTATGAAAACATGAGTATACAATAACTTACATAACTCTATACCTTTTTCACGATGAACTTTCACTTACAAAAACACTTCAATTTAGACATGTGAAAACTCTAAAATTGGGGTCCATTGAACTCCATTTCAGTGACGGATGTGTGCCATTGAACTCATATTGTTGTAACAATATATCAACTGGTTGGCTTGAACAAGGCCACCATCAAAGCATGCAATTACAGAGATGCTGAACCAAACAATACTCATGGTCTCACTGCTGCTGGATTGGTAGCCCACCCACATAAAACTCCCCAATTATTGGAAAGCTCACTAACACATCAATGGCTCTAAGTCCTTTGGAATGAGCCTTGGGAGAAAGAAGTAAAGCTCTCAATGACTCAAGCTCTTGGCCATAAACCTTGCAGAAATTTTCTTCTTTTCTAGTATGCCCATTATCAACTTCAAATCCACCACTTTGGTCACTTATGCCCAGAAGGTAGCCAAGGTCAAAATCAAGAATGCAATTCCCCAACGGAAGAGTAAAAACAGTGTGGACACAATCATAATCCTGCCAAATCAATGAAATTTCGTGAACTACCAGAATCAAGGAAAATGACAACTGAACAATTCTTGATAAAGTCCTGTATCACCATAGCCTTGAGCAATTTTAGAGTTGGCGTAGAGGCTTCTTCAATAGAAACAAAACGAAGCAAGTACAAGTCCTGGTGAAGCTCTGTCATCAACCCTCCAATGAAGCAACTCATGAGAAACTCACCACCACCATGCTACAGTGTTGGTCTCAGACAATGTTATTATCCTCCCAGCTGCTTTGGACTGAGCTGCATCGTTGGCTCCCTCCGGCTCAGCAGCTAAAACTCGAATTGCAGGGTTGATGGCCTTGGCAGCCAAAGCCACACCTGATATCAAGCCACCTCCTACACACCCACCCACAAACACACATATATCAACGCCAGAAAACAAAGCTCAGAAGTCAACAACAAAAATGTGAAGGAACAATAGTGAACTAATTTTTAAAATGATGATTAAATGTAACTGAACCAACCACTTATGGGAACTATAATAGTGTCTAACTGTGGAACTTGTTGCTCTAGAAACTCCAATGATATGGTACCCTGTCCACTGCAAGAACATTTAAACATGCCATAAAGGCCCTAACTCCATTAGGTATGCTAATTGTTATTGCATCTGAATTGTTTAAGTATTATGAATTAGGCTAGGTAATACTAATCAAGGAGTAGCCAGGGTGATATTATATATCACCATAAAATTCAAGGCAGCATCTATGATTGTATTTTCAAGAAAATATGGTAACCATGACACACATATTGATCAACAGTTTACAATTCATAATATGATTTTGGTTTGGTCATTCTTTAGGTAAACACACGCACACCCTCACTGTAAAGCAACCTTTTTATGTTGTCTTATTTTGCATCAACATAGTAGAGACTCTGAAGGTACATCCTAAGTTTCAATAATATTGATACAAAACAAGGTCATCTTTATGCAAAAGATTTCTACTCTTCCCTCATCAAGGGCCAAAATTCCAAACATATGCAGTTAAAACAAATGAAAGTTGCATGTGTACCTTATTATGCGCCTATCGTTGTAAGGATGTAGAAGAACTGCCCCAGTTTCTTGCAACACCTTGGCTGCAGTACTTTCCCTTGACTGCATTGTGGGCTCACTCCATATAAGCTGACCACCGTAACGAATGACATTCTCAACTTTGCATTTCGGAGCATTTTTTGGTATAACTATATATGCAGGGATTCCGCGTAGTTTTGCAGCCAAAGACAATGCTGCAGCATGGTTACCACTGAATTTGGAGGACAATATCAGGTGGTAATCCCACAAACTGATCAAAGGAAATACCCACGAAAGACAAATGAGCCGAAAGCAAACCTGCTGTGTGTTACAACCCCTTTAACAGCATGATCATCATCAAGTGAAAATACAACATTGCAAGCGCCTCTGAATTTGAAAGCACCACTGCATAGCCACATAATAATAAGTCTTATTGGCTGAGGAAAACTAAATGAATTCCAAACCAATCTAGGAAAAAAGTAAACACTCACCCCTTTTGAAAAACATTCACATTTGAAAAACAGCTGCCTTCCTGCAAGAGCATTCAAAGATTCAGAGGACAAGACAGGAGTTTGGTGTATGAATGGCTTGATGCGTGCTTCTGCTTCCCTTATAGAGGAAATATCAGCAGCATATTTTACCTCCCTCATTTGACTCTCTGCTTCCATCTTTATACCACCAATAACAAAAACTTGATTTTTTTTTTAACTGGGTAAGAAACAATCACACTGAACTTTTAGCAACACCTTCAACAATCTAAGAATTTAAAGAGATTGTTTGTACCATATCTGACCCTCCACTCGTACAACGACACGTGGATCTCATAAACTCGCCCAAGTACCCAAGGCCTCG